TGATTCATTTATTTTAGTGATGAACTGCTCCTGTAGACACTAATGAAGCCCAACGAGACAATTCAGCTGTTAGATTAAGGTGTTAAAAGACAAACGTACAGCAAGGAGGTATATTTCATTTTCAGTTTGACCACAGATAATTAATAACGAACACTAGGGGGTGCTAAAAGCAAACAAAACCAAGTGTGCCTTTAAATTTAAAGTTAAAGTCCCATTCAGGGGCGTTGGACTGGGGGGGGGGGGGGGGGGGTACCGTTTACCCAGGGCCCACTGCAGGGAGGGGCCCTGAGACAGCTTTGAATAAAAATGTTTTATTGTTGTTGTTTTTCCCCCCAACTTACTTAATGTCTTAATAAACTTCCCTTTACCTGGATAAAGAGGTTAAGAAACAGAATTTCGCCTTAAAAATAATAACTGAATAATCTCTGAGGCATCTATCACCCCTTAAAAATGTGCAAAGTGGTTTAGTCCACACCAGCGGCCAGGGGCTGCATGGCAGCATGTACAGCTAATGAGACATCGCAGATGCCGACAGCCAGAGCTGGAGGCAGGAGAGTCAGTCATGTCTTTTCCCAAGAAAGGGAAATCTGGCTTCCAGAAAAGAAAACAAGGAGAAAAAAGTTAATTGAACAGAAGCAAGTATTTACTAGGTTCTTCAAGAAGGAAGGTGAGCAGCAGCAGAACACAGTTTTAGCTGATATTAGCTAGCTCTCAGAAGCTGCATTCATGTTAGGTGTTCGGTGTTAAACGCCTTTAGTTTCACCATCAAGATCAAATATAAATTAATTAGTGTTATCAGTGAAAACACTAATTTATATATATATATATATATATATATATATATATATATATATATATATATATATATATATATATATATAAATCAGAATTATTATCGCGGGCGGCCGCCGCCAATTAATTCGCGGACCTCGCAGTAAAAACAGGTTCACTCTGTGTGGATATTTCAGCTCCAGTCATGGACCAGGACAAACTTGGTATCGATGGATTCGTGGTAATCTCAGGAATGTGAAGCTGCCACTGTTTTTCGTATAGCATGATGACACTGGTGTTAGAGGATTGTTATTGACTTGGTTAGATATTTTAAGCCTATTTTAAATTTCTTTATATTTGATCTTGAAAACGGACAATCTTATAATTTGGCTGATAATGCAGGGATTATAATATTTAGAGTACATTACATTCACAGAGAGAACCTGGTTTATTTCATGTCATATGTATTTAATATATCAATATATATCAGTATTAGCAAAGCTTAACATCATGAACATGACAGACATGACTGAAGAGCAGATGAAGATATCATGCCAGGCACTGATGAGAAAATATTAAAAGGATCTCACAGCTGAATTTGAGAATGAGATGCTACACCTGAGAACAATATATGGTGCCACATTTCCACACATTCGGTCTCCTCTTGAGCTGCTTAATGCCATCTAGGATGCAATTACAGAGCATTTTTGGAGAAGTTTGTATTGGACTGAGGATATTTTGCACACTACCTGTGACTGTTGCTGGGGGGTGAACAGGCTTTTAGCAAACTGAAACTGGTGAAAAATTATTTGAGATCAACAATGTCCCAGGATAGACTGAACAGCCTAGCTCTTCTTTCTATTGAAAGCCAATTAGCCAAAGGATTGGACTTTAAAGATCTCATAAGTGATTTTGCTAACATGAAGACCCGTCAGTGGGCATTTACTGGAAAATAAATTCCAGGATTTTTGTTTGAACACATTGTTGGCAAATAAAAATAATTATATGTGAAGTCTGGGCATTTCACTTTTATTATGCTGGCATTTGTATTTGCTCAATATAGAGGTTAAACTAAGATCATATTTATTATCTTGTCTTATAGCATGACAAAAAATGTGTAAGAGAGATATTAAGTAATTGAGCATGGGGGCCCACCTAGAAGACTTGTACCTAGGGCCCAGAATTTGGTGCTACGCCCCTGGTCCCATTAGTCATCATCACACTGATGAAAATCATCTCCACATTTGACCCATCCCCGTGGGGAGCAGTGAGCTGCAGCTGTGACTGCGCTTGGGAGGTATTTGGTGGTTTAACCCACCAATCCAACCCCTTAAAGCTGTCAAGCAGGGAGGCATTGGGTCCCATTTTTAAAGTCTTTTGTATGACCCAACTGAGATTTGAACCCTGATCTCCCAGTCCCAAGGCGGACACTCTACCACTAGGCCACTGAGAAGGTAAAGTGGAAAATAAGTTGTTTTTACTGTTAATTTCATGGCAATATCTATCCAAAATTTAGCTGAAAATGAGTTAAATGATGCCTAGTTGTTGAAGAATGTTGGCAGCTTCTAAACATAACCATAAAAATCGGGTCTAAATTAAAAGGGAGCGAGTCTCTGGACGACGCCATATTAGATGACATGTTTCCTTCAATGTGATCCCGTGAGGACAAAATGCTGATTTGTAACAAACTATTGCAAATCTTTTGCCATTCATAAAAGTTGTTTTACACATTTACCTCCACTTGCTGCCAGTGATGAAAGGAAGTCTGATGTGCTTGTCATTTTGCTGGAGGTTACACACCTAGGGATTTTTGACCCTAATGGCCATCCGTTACTCGAACACAAAAGTACTGCTTTCTGGCAATGGTTTAGGTCTGTACTGCCCCCTATCGCTAGAGAAAACACACTTTGTCATTTTAAGAAGGCAACAGTCAAGCACAAGCCTATTTTTCTCATTTCTTTTTCTTTTCTTTTTGAGGTGCAAACACCACTACCTCTCAGAAGACTGTACATGTTTTAGACTAAATCCGTGTCACATATAATGCAGTTCTTTTGCACATGTTTTACATTCAGAAAGTTTTTTTTCCACCACTGGGACTTGGACAAGTATTTTTTTAATTAAATGCAAGCATGCAAAAGGCCTCATTTAAATGTGGGCAAACGGCACCATTGCTGTTTGGATAGCAGCACAGAGGAGCAGAAATCCCTTTTCAAGGGTTCTGTGAACTATGCAACAATGCAAACTTGTAATTAATGTACAATACCTTAGTGAGTTTTGACTTAATGGTAAAGAAATGTTTCTTTATGGGAATTTTTTTCTCAGGTTATTGAAAGTGAGTCCATGCAAGTGGAAGCCAAAAGTAAAGTTGTGCGAGTTGATGAAGAGGCAGCTACCATAAAAGCCAGTGAGGCTCGGGTTCTGATGAATGAGTGTGAGACTGAGTTAGCCAAAGTCATCCCTGCTCTGGAGGCTTCTGTCTCTGCCTTGGACACATTAAAAGTGAGAATTCTCAAACATGTTTCTTTTTGGATGTTCATATCAGTTCAATGTACAGATAAGGAAAACTGTCTGTTTCATTTTAGCCCACTGATATCACTATAGTGAAATCAATGAAGAACCCACCTGCAGGAGTAAAGCTGGTGATGGCAGGTGTATGTGTGATGAAGGATATACAACCGAATAAGATACCTGACCCTGCTGGGACTGGGAAAAAGGTTAGACTGAGTAAAAATCTATATGATTTAATAACTGAAACACAATCAAAACTCATCTCAACAATCATTTTAAACACACATCCTTCTGATATTAGTATTATTTTCTTTGTTGTATAGATTTTAGATTACTGGGGTCCAAGCAAGAAGTTACTGGGTGATACAAATTTTTTGCGAGATCTTAAGCACTACAACAAGGACAATATTCCTGTGAGAGTCAAGAGAAGTAATCTTTTAAAAATTAAAATTAACAAAGCATTTCAATCCTTAGCTAATCTAAGAAACTTCTGACTTTCAGGTTCATACCATGCAAAAAATCCGTACTGAGTACATGACCAACCCTGACTTTGACCCCAGAAAAGTGTCTAAGGCCTCCTCTGCAGCAGAAGGTCTGTGCAAGTGGATCAAAGCAATTGAGGCTTATGACAGAGTTATAAAGGTGCAGTGTCTACCTTTTCCAATGGCTAATACACATGGAAGTTCCTCCAAATGCATTACCATTTCTATCTGAATTCCAACAAGTCTCTTTTGATTTTAGGTTGTGGCCCCTAAAAGGGCTAATCTTGCAGAGGCACAAGAGTCCCTAACTGTTACCATGGCTCTGCTAGATCAGAAAAGAGCTGAGTTAAAAGATGTCGAGGATCACTTGGTTGTGCTGCATAAATGTTTTGAGGAGAAAACAGAGGAGAAGACCCGGCTGGAGCTACAAGTCAATTTGTGTGCAAAAAAGCTGGGGAGAGCTGAAAAGCTCATTGGTGGTCTGGGTGGAGAGAAGACCAGGTCACGATGATGATTAATCCAGCATGTTCTGTGAATAGAAGAATAAAAGCAGACAGTTTGTTGAATTAAACTGATTCATCTTTACGTAGATGGTCAAAAGCAGCAGATGACCTGCAGAACACCTATGACAATTTGACTGGAGATGTCCTCATCTCTGCTGGCGTCATCGCCTACTTGGGAGCATTTACTGTTGGGTTTCGACATGACTGCACTAAGTTATGGACCAGTCTTTGCCAAGTAACATTTGTCTTTCCTCAATTTCCACTTTTTGTAACTTAAAGATATATAATTGCTTATTACCTGTAATTTCTCCCAATTACATGTCCATAGTCTAAGAACATTCCTTGCTCAGATGACTTCTCTCTCAGTAAAACCCTGGGAGATCCCATGCAAATTTGGGCTTGGAACATTGCAGGCCTTCCCAGTGACTCTTTCTCTATCGACAATGGTGTCATCGTCAGTAATTCCCGTAGATGGTAAGTTTTATGTAAAAGTAACATTCAAAAAGATTCATCTATCACTTTTGTTGACAAAAAAAGAAAAAAAAATGTATTGCTTCAAATCTTCTGCACATAGGCCTTTGATGATTGACCCTGAAGGTCAAGCCAACAAGTGGGTGAAGAATTCAGAGAAGGAGAAGAACCTGAGCGTAATCAAGTTAACAGACGGGGACTTTGTAAGAACTTTAGAAAATTGCATTCAGTTTGGAACTCCCTTGCTGCTGGAGAACGTTGGCGAAGAGCTGGACCCTTCTCTGGAACCACTGCTGCTCAGACAAACTTTCAAGCAAGGTGCTGTGGGAGAAGCTACCAAACCACAAACAGTGACTTCAAATGGGCCTTTGGAGTGTCTCAATTTGTAAACATTTTGTTTTTGCCCAGGTGGTGTTGAATACATTCGGCTTGGAGAGAGTATTATTGAGTACTCCGCTGAGTTCCGGTTCTACATCACCACAAAGCTGAGGAACCCACACTACCTACCAGAACTGGCCACCAAGGTGTCTTTGCTTAATTTTATGATCACACCAGACAGTTTGCAGGACCAGCTGCTGGGGATTGTGGTTGCAAAAGAAAGGTAGCAACATAGTCTTTTTCTAATTCCAATGCAACATGTTAAATGCCGTGTATTTACTTCACCACCACCCAATTATTGCTTTTTTCAGGCCACAGCTGGAAGAAGAGAGAAATGCACTAATCCTGCAGTCAACTGACAACAAGAGGCAGCTAAAGGAAATTGAAGACAACATCTTGGAAACACTGCACTCTTCTGAGGGAAATATTCTGGAGGATGAGAGCGCTATTAAGATACTAGATTCAGCAAAGGTCATGTCTAATGAGATTACCCAAAAACAGCAGGTAGTGCTTATTTATAAAATCACAGTAAGAATGTGAAAATAATCAGTCTGATAAATGATCATCTAACATTTTGTTCACTTTCTTAAGATTGCGGAGAAGACAGAGATAAAGATTGCTGAGGGCAGAGAAGGTTACAGACCTATCGCCAAGCACTCCTCTGTTCTGTTCTTCAGTATTTCTGATTTGACCAACATAGACCCTATGTACCAGTACTCGCTCAGCTGGTTCATTAACATCTACATCAACTCCATAAAAGAGAGGTGGGTAATGCACTCGAAAAATGTTTTGCTCCCCCTAAAAAATGGCCCGTATGAGCTGAAAGGCACTGCAATAAATCTACAAGACTGAATTATACCAGCAGTTTATTACATGTTTTTCAAAGTTTGTACATGAAATAAACAAAAAGGAAGCATTTGACAAGAATTATTAAAAAATTAGCTTCTTGGCAATAAGATTTAGAATATATTTGTGTCTTGTTTTTTTACATTAATATAGTACTTTTGGACATATGTTTTTCACATTACTACAAACACATTTCAAGTGGGAAAAAAGAATTACAGGTTATTTGAAGAAAAATTAGATCATTCTTTATAAAAATATTGAAGAGTTATTGTGTAATATTGTTTGTGTTTCTCATTTTATTTAGTAACATGTCCATGATTCTGGCGACGAGACTTCAAAATTTAACCGATTACTTCACCTATGACCTTTACTGCAATGTCTGTCGGTCTCTCTTTGAGAAGGACAAACTTCTCTTCTCCTTCCGTCTTTGCTACAATTTGCTGCTGTAAGTCTAACTGAAAAGCAAACGCTATTTCAGGGTCCCCACACTTGCCCTTTCAAAAATATGATTGTTTTGTTTTCCATTAATTTATTCATATAGAGAAAAGGGAGAAATTGAATACCCAGACCTCATGTTCCTGCTCACGGGAGGTGTAGGCCTGCAGAACAGTGTTCCTAACCCCGATTCCAGCTGGCTACTGGACAGGAGCTGGGACGAAATCTGCAGAGCAAGTGATCTGCCTGGGTTAAAGGGGATAAAGTAAAAACCAATAATCACCCCACAAATATAACTTTTTTATGAAGTGTTAGGTGTTTCCCAATGTGATGTACTTTTTTGAACCAGTTGATTTGTTTATTTATTTCACAGAGATGCTTTCATCAAGAGTCCTGGTGACTTCAAGCCTATTTATGACAGCAAAGAGCCATGCACCGTTGATCTGCCTGCACCGTGGTGTGACTGCCTCAACGACCTGCAGAAGATGATCATTATCCGCTGTCTCAGACCTGATAAGATACCACCAGCTATAACTAAGTTTGTGATACACAATCTGGGGGATAAATTTGTCCAGCCTCCTCCCTTCGACTTGAGTAAGAGCTACCTGGACTCCAACTGCACCATTCCACTTGTGTTTATCCTTTCTCCCGGAGCTGATCCCATGGCTAGTAAGTCCATCATAACAAACGTTGGTTTGTTAAAAACTAGCTTTAAAATACAGTATTTTTTATGAGATTCCTGAAAAATCTTATTCCTCCATAGGTTTGTTGAAGTTTGCCTGTGACATGAATATGAGCGAGAAGTTTCAGTCTATCTCTCTGGGTCAAGGCCAGGGGCCCATCGCAGCTAAAATGATATCCACAGCTATGAAGGATGGGACATGGGTGTGTTTGCAGAACTGTCACTTGGCCATTTCATGGATGTCCGCTCTAGAAAAAATCTGTGAGGACTTCAGCCGCGCAACATGCCACCCAGACTTCCGCCTCTGGCTCACAAGTTACCCTTCACGCCAGGTAAGATCTCTTTATAACAAGCTAACAACCTAAAATAGTTATATAGCCTTTGATCTGAATATTCACAAGTATTCAAAACACACAGAAACAAGTCTTATGTTTGATTACAGTTTCCAGTGACCCTCCTCCAGAACGCAGTAAAAATTACCAATGAGCCACCTACAGGACTCCGTTTGAACCTGCTGCAGTCTTACTTATCAGATCCTGTTTCAGACCCAATCTTCTTCACCAACTGTCCCAAGAAGGAGCATGTGTGTTCAGCTCATATTTAGTGTCTAACACACCGAGGATTCTCTCTGACTCGGATTTCTTCCACAGGTTTGGGAAAAGCTTCTGTACGGATTGTGCTTCTTCCACGCTCTTGTGCAGGAGAGGAAAAAATTTGGCCCACTAGGCTGGAATATTCCTTATGGCTTCAACGAATCTGACCTCCGTATAAGCATCAGACAGCTTCAGGTATTGCTTAAAAGTCCCAGATGTTGAGTTCCTACCATCACAGTGCATTTGATTCTTTTTTTGTTTTAGCTGTTTATAAATGAATATGATGATGTGCCCCTGGAGGCCATTTCATATCTGACTGGAGAGTGTAACTACGGTGGTCGCGTGACAGATGACTGGGACAGGCGACTCCTGGTGACCATCTTGGCCGATTTCTACAACACCAACGTTATTTGGGGGTTTAAATACCCTCTGTCACCTTGTGGTAGATACACTGTCCCACCTAAATCTAGCTACGAAGACTACATGTATTTCATTAAGGTAAAAACTTCAACAGGACAAAGTTTGTTTTTTGTGATAATTACTTCCAACTGAGTTACACTTTTTTTTTTCTCCTAGAAACTGCCATTAAGTCAGTATCCTGAGGTGTTTGGGTTGCATGAAAATGCAGACACATCTAAAGATTTGCAGGAAACAAAACTGTTGTTTGACTCTCTGCTACTGACCCACGGTGGAGGAGCCAAGGGAGGGGCCACTTCTGGGAGTGACAACACCCTGTATGACATAGCAAACGACATCCTTACCAAGGTAGAAACCAATAAGACCCCTTTCATTTAGCTGTTGGGTTCCTGTTTGTGTTGTAATCTGGTCAAGAATAAATATACCTTCTGTTTTAGCTTACAGCTATATAACTTGGTTTTTATACTGAAATCATAAATCCATGAAAAAAGATGGAAAAGGAAAAAACATACTGAAACCAAAGGATAATTCATAAGATCTTTACTGAAGGAGAAACGTTCATTCTGTAGTAATGTAATACGTACCACAGTGATTGTTATTTTAGGTTTAAGTGCAATGATGTTTTAGATTCATTTTGAACTCAGATCATTCTGATTTAAAGTCATTTTTAACATCCTTACCTGTGTTTTAATTTGAATTGTGGTCTGTTATCATATCGTGAATCGAATCATAAGTTTGATATTTGTTTAATCCACCAGCTTCCATCTAACTTCGACACAGAAGCAGCTCTCTTGAAGTTCCCAGTGCTCTATGAAGAAAGTATGAACACGGTTCTTGTTCAAGAGATGGAGCGCTACAACACGTATGAAGAAGCAAATCAATTCTTATCCCTAAGTTCTTATCAAAGTAACTTAAACTACTGGCTCTGTTTCTCAGGTTGTGCAGTACTATTCGTGTGAGTCTACAGAACCTCCTCAAAGCTATTAAGGGCTTGGTGGAGATGGATTCAGAGCTGGAGGCAGTTGCAGGCAATTTGATGGTAGGCAAGGTCCCAGAAAAATGGGCCAAGCGCTCTTACCCAAGCCTCAAGCCTCTGGGTAGTTACGTAAATGACTTCCTCTCAAGGCTCAAGTTTTTACAGGTGAGAAAATTCTGTGGCACCATAAGACAAATGTGTCACAGGTCTTATTTAGACTGGAAGTATAAGCATGTTGAGGTTTATTTTCTCCTTTGTTTTGTCTTTCACTTTGTGTGCCTGAAGGTTTGGTATGAAACCAGAAAGCCCAGTGTGTTCTGGCTGTCTGGATTCTTCTTCACTCAAGCCTTCTTAACTGGAGCCATGCAGAACTATGCCAGGAAATACCATATCCCCATTGATCTTCTAAGTTTTGATTTTGAGGTTTTAAAACACACACACAGACGCGCGCGCACACTCACACACACAACTTTGCACTCTTTTCATCCTCACTTAAAATGTACTGACTTACTGTTTTCCAGATCCTTCCAGTTGATACCTCTGAAACAGAGCCTGATGATGGTGTTTATGTTATTGGGTTGTTCCTTGATGGGGCTCGATGGGACAAAGAAAGGTAGATGCAATATTCTTTTTCGGTGTAAAATAAAATCGATAACACAATTAGGAGCGTAATGTCACATCTGCAGAATACGAGATGACATAAAGCACAATGAAGATGTGAAATGGCAACAGGTAGACAAGTATAACAACAAGGAAACTAAATGATAATCCATAATTTAAATGTTGCTAAAAATTCATTTTAAACCTCCACAATAGCGCCTTGGGCACCTTGGGGGTTCTAGGACTCGAAAATGTAAGAACAGGCCCTTTACCATTTAATGGGAAATCAGCTCAGCTGCCTTGTAGTAAAGGTTTGGATTGATTGTCCATAATGGTCTTACAGTTTGTTTTGTGTTCTCCTAGCCATCACTGAATCAAACATTGTCTACAACTGGTGCTGCTAAGATTTCCCCCTCAAGCTAACCCTAACATGTGCTATTAATGCTGCTCAAACATCACCCCTCACTCATTAAATGGTTTGATTTTATTGTCTTTCATCTTCAAGCCAACAATCTCTCTCTTATTAGTTTTGGTAAAGGTGTGGTTGAAAGACAAAACATTTGTTAAATGACTATTTCTGATTATAATTGGCCACTCTGGGTTTTTCATGCAGGATGAAGATGAAAATAGTTTCCTTCACCTATCTTCTGTATTAGCTTGTGATAGGAAATAGAGAGTGCAACTCTAGGATTAGAAAATCCTCACAGATCTACGGCACACTATGAATTAGCATTCAGGGGCCCGATCCCAATACTCGCACTGCGGTCTTCAGCAAAGTGCACTTAAGGCTTCAAGTGTGTGGTGGGCTAAGTGTGTGGAAATAATTGCCGAAAGGAGACAGGGAGCATTGCGTAATCCAGCGCAACGCATGCTAGGATGCTGGTCGCTGTGATAATGTTTTTAAAAACCTATTTTAACACCTTTCAAACAAAAAACAAACAATTATTTAAAAGTAATTTTTAATAATTGCTGCTTTGTCTTAAAGTTTCAGAGCACCAACTAATCATCCTAAAATGAACTACTTTCATTAGAAGTACATATTTTTAGAAATGGTTTGTGGGTACTAGACTTCACCCAAGTCTGCAATGATGCGGTCTGGATCAAGAGAGCAAAAGGGGTGTGATCAGCTTCTGGACTTGAGATACGGGACACCCTACACACTTTCACCCCGGTCAAGATCGCTCTAGTGTGGAGGTGTGAGTATTGGGATAGGGCCACAGACCTGGCCTGAGCCCGGGGTTTGTGAGTGTTTTGTACCATGAGTACGGCCTCCAAGGCATTCATTCTTAGAGACCACTGCAAATGTATGGATTAAATGAGTAATTCACTCCTTTAACTTGTAGGATTTTGGTTTTCCACCTGTAAAACTGCAACAAATCACCTTTCATCTCTCTGTCAAGACTCTGAAAAGCATTTTATTTTCAATATGTATTATACTACACATAGGAAGCCTCTGGATCTGGCATGAATCGAAGCCCTTCAGAAATGTACAGCATGACAGGAACAGACAAAACAGTCCGGTTTAACACTTGTGAATAACCCAACCTTGAGCCTATCTCAAAAGTAGCCACTGATCCAGAGATCACGGGTTACACGGACTGACAGCAGTGGAGTTTTCCGATATGGGAAAGCACAGAACAACTTCTCTCATCAAAGTGAAAGTAGCATCTTAGACCACGCCCACTTAGCCAACTGAAGCTTGTTACTGGTAGCTTTCACCTGTGGGGGTCAAAGTGCATGTGCTAAGCTGTTTGCAAAATTTCCATGTGTGATCTCAAAAATGCAAAGACTCTTTGTACTTTAGAGTTTACATCCTAAAAGGAGAAACCAGCTAAATTTAAAAACTAAATCAAAAGGGTTTAAATTCAAACTATATTGAATAAATTATGTTTTTTTGTTTGTTGTTTTTTTATTGCATTGTTTTTATAAATGTATTGTCTCAGAACATGTAAATGCATGTTGTTTATTTATGTATTTATTTTTTATGTCACCATCAGTGAAAACTATTAAACCTTTTTGTTCTGGCCTCTTTATCCTCAGTGGAGTCCTAGCTGAGCAGTACCCCAAAGTACTGTTTGATTCTATGCCCATCATTTGGATAAAACCCAGTGAGTACTCCTTTGTTCTGAATGCTGTAAATAAAACACATATGAGGCTAGTGTAATTTGTAGCTTACGTTTTTGACTCTTTCTTGCTGCTACTTTGTTTTTACTTTGCTTCACTGGGATTTTTCTCCTTAACAGCCAAAGAGAAACACACTGATGAATCTCAGACACTTTACGTTTGCCCGCTCTATAAGACCAGCGAGAGGAAGGGTACACTCTCTACTACCGGACACTCCACCAATTTTGTCATTTCCATGATGTTGCCGACCAGCCTTCGCCCGCAGCACTGGATTAAGCGTGGTGTGGCGTTGCTCTGCCAGCTTGATGACTGACATCAGACAACACAGTTGAAGAATCAAGCTCTTTATTCTGAGCCATTTGGATTCACAGTTTGATCCTGAGAGATCTCAAATAAATAAAATGTTTGCATTTGACTAATTTGTGTGAGCATATCTATGAATAGAGCAAAGGATTGTTTTTTCTGTGTCTCCATCCATCCATTTCTGTCCACTTATCCAGAGTCGGGTTCCAGGGGCAGCAGCCTATAAGCAGAGAGGCCCCAACTTCCCTCTCTCCAACCACTTGGGCCAGCTTCTCTGGGGGAATCCCAAGGCGTTCTCTGGTCAGCCGAGAAACAGTCTCTTCAGCGTGTCCTGGATCTTGCTTTAGGTCTCCTCCCAGTTGGACGTGTCCAAAAACCCTCATCAGGGAGGCGTCCAGCAGGCATCCTAATCAAATGCCTGAGACACCTCAACAGACTCCTCTCGATGTGGAGGAGCAGCGGATCTACGCTGAGCCCCTCACGAATGACCAAGCGTCTAACCCTATCTCTAAGGTAGAGCCCAGACAGCCTGCGGAGAAAACAAATTTTGGCAGCTTGCATCCGCAATGCCATTCTTTCGGTCACTACCCAAAGCTCATGACCATAGGTGAGGGTAGGAACTTAGATCGACCAGTAAATCGAGAGCTTCGCCTTCTGGCTCAGCTCTTTCTTCACGACAGACCAGTACAACGCCTGCATCACTGCAGACGCAGCACCAATCCGCCTATCGATCTCACGCTCCATCTTTCCCTCACTCGTGAACAAGACCCGTACAGTTTCTTTGTCTAGTAAAAACAGTTTTCTAACAGTTGTAAAGGAAAGTTTAACTTAAAGAAATATTTTAAGAGTGCAAACGCTGATAAACGAACTGAACAAGCATTTTAAAACTGCAACAACTCCTGCACCTACTGTATGATCAAAGGCATTCTCTGTATTACTAATGAAGAAATCCGCTATAACATTTAAACAATCATTTCTGTCACAAACACAGTCAGAGAAGACCTGAGTTATTAGCAGTTGTTTCAGTGTTTAGGAGGTCAAAGCTAGGTGCTAGTCATGAAAACCCCGTGATCTGATATTTATGGTTGAGGAACTATAAATAGCAGGAGCATGTGTGTGTCCTGAGAGGCCCACTGCTACTCTAGTGTGACGAGGGAGCACAGCCAGTTTAAGGTAAACACTGATTTACTTCTTTACAAATGTAATTGTGAGTGAGTTTTTAACATTTATTTTGCTTTATTTTTGACTTTTAAAGGACTCATTGCTGTCTGATATTTCCTGTCACCTTATTAAGACTTTATAAAGAAAAACATGTGACAACATCTCTAGATCGTGCATGAAATACACTTTTGATAAAAGTGAAATACTGGTAATTCTTTACATGGCACCTGCTTTGGTTACTGCTATTGTAAATATTCTGAGGGTTTTATGGCTTTTTTATATATATAATCTTGATTGCTGTTTTCTTTATGATCACATCTCTGCACTCTACTTCAAGGCTCCATGTGATGTGTAGGTTCTCTTGTCCTAATAAAATAAATAGATTTTTTTAACGTGCCTCCTCATAGCTGCCTTTTCTGCTCTGACTTTTATGGACCAACAGATGAGCACAGAAACAACAGAGGATTTTTATGAATCGGAGGACGAAGATGAGGCCACGCAATATGTAATTGAACAAAGTCTGATGCAGTACAGAAAGCTTAAAGGATTAAACCCAAGGTTTGAATTTGACCAGTTTCAAACAAGAAACATCATTTTGCATGTTATTTATTATGTGTGTACAAATTCTAGTGATCTGAAACCCAGCAAAGACCCAGATGAAATTTTCAAAGCCATCAAAGAGGGTAAGCTGCTGTTTTCAGACCCTACTGAAGACATTTAGTCATAGAAACAGAACTTCTGATGTGATGTCCTGTTGTCACTTTGAGGTGATGAAGTTGCTCTGAGGAAACTAACAGAGCAGCTAGAGCTTCTGGCCAGAGTCGATGAGCGAGGATGGATCCCTCTGCACGAGGCCGCAGTAAAGGATGACAGAAGGATACTAGAGATGCTCTTCTCAGGTGGGAAAGGTTTGATTTTTTTTTAAAGAATGCTTTTTAAACTAGGGCATAGATTTTCTCTTGTGTGTTTGTCTTGCAGCATCACCACCAGGAGCAGCTCAGTGTCGTTCTCTGAAGGGTGAGACGCCTTTGTTTCTAGCGGTGGTCCACGGAATTCGTGAGAACGCCACGTTCCTGTTACAGAACGGTTGTGACCCAGATGTGCAGAATGATGAGCAGGATTCTCCCTTGGTGGCAGGTAACAATGTTAATCTCAAAGCTTAATCTGACTAACATTTTAACAGATTATCTTTTAGGTGCTCATTTCTGTTTTTATTCTCTCTTTTGCTCTTTGTCTCAAAGCCATTCTGAATGATCAGTATGACTTGGCCACACTTTTGCTTCGTTACAACGCCAAAACGGATCAAACAGGACCACTAAACAGGACCGCGCTACATGAGTCTGCCTTTTTAGGCTTGGACAACTTTGTGCATCTGCTGTTGGAGTCGGGTGCTGACCCAAATGCTCTCGATATCAAAAAGAAAACTCCACTTTCTTTGGCTGCACAGAATGGACACCTGAATGTGGTGGAGGCTCTACTGCAAAAAGGTAAATTAGATCATTTATGGAAAATAGTTTCATGGAACAAAATGCATCATCTGTCTCCAGGACTTTTGTTTTACCTTATTAGAAATGAAAATCATCTTCTGATAGAGGAAACACGAAGGAAATGCAATAGATGCGAGAAATTGCCTGTTCATTTTAGAGCTTTAATATGTTGCAGGAGCCCGTTTGTGGTCTGAATCCGAGTCAGAGTCAGGTACTACTTTGTTTGATGCAGCAGCATCAGGACATCCAGACATTATCACCTTGCTGCTGGACCATGGAGCAGATCCCAACCTCCAGCTTCACAATGGACACCTGCCAATACACCGAGCGGCCTATCACGGACACAGACTGTGAGGAATAGCAAACCTTTTCAGTTTGAAGTTCAAACTTAACCGAACACGTACCGATAAGTTTATTTTTTGTTTTTTGTCACAGAGCATTGGAAGTCCTCATCCCAGTGACAAAGATGCAAGCTGTCAAAGAAAGTGGAATGAGTCCTCTTCATTCTGCAGCTGCTGGGGGACACACTCAATGTGTTGAAATACTGCTGAAAGCTGGCTATGACCCAAACTTCATGCTGCACCCAAGGGTGCGTCGCAGCTACGATGATGACCACAGGTCTGCCCTCTTTCTTGCTGTGTCCAATAGTGATCTTCACTGCACCCACTTGCTGTTAGAGTCTGGAGCAATGGTCAACCAAGATCCCATCAGCTGCCTACAGGTGGCTCTCAGACAGGGAAACTATGAACTCATCAACATCTTGTTGAGATACGGGGCAAATGTCAACTACTACTCACGTGTCAACACTACTCACTTCCCCTCGGCGCTGCAATACGCCTTGAACGATGAGGTCATGCTGAGAATGATTCTGAACCACGGTTATGACGTAAAGCGCTGCTTTGACTGTCCTTTTGGAGAGAGTTCCCATGGTTATGCACCTTGGACAACATCAGTCTTCAAAGACATGGTGGTGAGGAGAGTTAAATAGATGAAGGTGTTTGAAAAGGAAAGCTTTACTTAACTTTTCATTTTGACCGGCCACTGTCTTTTCTTTGTCCTCTCTTAGTTCTGTGAGGTGATAACAGTGTCATGGCTAAAGCACCTGTCTGCCCAGGTGGTGCGCATCATGCTGGACTACACTGACCACGTCTCCTTCTGCCCCAAACTAAAGGAGACCTTGCAGGAGCAAAAGCAGTGGCCAGAAATCTGTCACATCCTAAGTAAGAACTTTAGGAACCCATCATAAGTGATGGCTGAATGATCACATTTATCTTTAAGTCCACTCACTGCTTTTGTTGACATATCTTGACTGACAGGAAATGCACGAAGCCTGAAGCACCTGTGTCGGTTGCAGATAAGGGAGCACCTCAATTGTTTGCGCTTGAGAGCGCCTGTTTTTATCAACTTCCTTCCACTTCCACCCAGGCTGAAAGACTACCTACGCTTTAAGGAGTTTGATGTTTACAGCAGAGGGAGCATGGTTATCCCCTAATGAAAAAAAATCAAAGAAAACTAAGTTACAGTTTTAGTAAAAATCTAATTTGTTTTTTGTTATTGTGTTTTAAATTTTCACTTTATGTGATTTTCTTGTGATTATAACACTGGGTCATGTTAGAAGAGATATAAAGTGTATACATAGAAAGTTTGACCTTCTTTTACAGTGACTTTTTTGGTTAGATGATACAACAAATATAAATGTTTGGTCATTTGGGGGGGGGGGGGCTTTGTCTCTTTGACCCCACTTTGTAGCCAAAGAAAGAATTACAAGTGAAGGTGGTCTCCATCACCATGTACTAAAGTTATCATTTAATAGCTATAAAGGAGTTTTTAAAAAGTAAAAAGAAAAAAATAATAATAAGAAAGATTTAAAAAATCCTAAACAAATGTGTTTTTAATCAAAGTAATTCACAAATACTAAGTACAACTTTGCATAATAAACGTTAAACTGTGATATAATGTATTCTTTCGATTAAATCAACATAAATTTGTAGCTTTTTAACCTAGACTTTTGAACAATTTCACACTTGACTCATTTTCTTTAATGCAGTACCCTCTTGGGCCGCTGGGTGGTGTGAATTTTCTCGTATGTAAACAGTGACGGCAACGTTTTGCAGTGGTGGACAAGAACGTGTACGTCATTTTTACAATGGCGGAGGCTGGGTGAGGAGGAGAGTGTGTGTTTTAAGCGGCGTCGTAATCGGCTGAGCTACATTGCCCTTACTACGTGCACGGTACCCCAAAATGGCCCTAAACCCCAACGCGGTGGGAAAAACGGACTCAGAAAGCACCGAGACCAACGATTCACCGCCGGAGGGGAGCGAAGCCCACAAGAATTCATCGGCCACAGCCAACCAAAATGGCGATCAGCCTGGATGTAGAGACGGTGTAATGCCCGAACAAGAAGCCCTTGAACGGCGAAGGAGCATGCTGGCGGATGCCCGGAGCAGTAGCAGCTATCCTTCGCCAGCCCAGAGATCGAACGAAGAGTTGCCACGGAGAAATTTCCAGATTCCGAGGAAGACGAGAGAACGGAAAGGTGGTGCCATATCGCTGCTATTTTCAACACTGCTTTCATAATTCTGCTGCTGCATGCAGTTAGCCTGCTAGCAAGCTAATTGGCTCTTTGGTTCTGCAGGTTTATTGACTTTTAGAAAAATCCCGTGGTATTCCAGGTTCAAACTCAATTACAGCCATGCTATAAGCACACGGATGGCCTTGATTGGTGTAGTGGTGCTTGTAGACAGCGCTAGCTTCGGTGGCGTAGGCTTCGGTTACCAAGTTAGCATCGTTGCTCCCTGCGCCTGGAAGCAGCACTTTCAAGAACCGTCCATCAGAAAGCCCGTTTAGGTTCTGGATCTTTTTGTAATACCCTGATTTAAGGGTGCTGCACACGTTCTGAGTGTGTTGTAGCCACCCTTTGACAACATGTGGGTGTCTGACCTCAGTGAAGGGCACGATGGTTTATTTCACCTCACCAGTCCATCCAAATAGTTCTCAGTCCCGCAGCCATCCTCTTACCTCAGGTTGATGTTAGTGGTATTACCACAGAGCACCCCCCCACCGCGTGCTCCCTCAGCATCCCTCCCAGAAATAAATCCTGTGCAACTTTCAACACTGACCCCATCTTTCTGAAGTGTGGACCGTCACTTGGACTTCATTCAGCATCCTTACAAATGGGATGATGTTTGATCAGTGTTTTAATATGTCTGTCATGCCACCACACACGCATGATATATTAACTTATAACATTTGAGATCACTCAGTTTTGAGACGGGCTAATCTGTGATTATGCTCGGATGGCATGTCCACATCCTGTTGTCACACAGAGACATTATGTCCCACCGCTGGAAGCTGTGAAGCTTCTTTATGGTTTCCTGTTGGTTGGACCAAGTATGCATCTAGACAAAGATGAGGCTTGGTCACCTGTGCAACAGGTTTTTGATGCAACTAAGTTGTAACAGTTGTTTATGGAAGGTTTGCCTCATGATCTCTAAAAACGTGCACCTTATGCACAAAGAAACAATCAGCTCACATCACGGTCATAAGATGTGGCTTACGTGTTGAGTATTTAAGAGACAAAGTGGGAGTTGACTGTCTTCTAATGGAATGAATTTGACACTTGTTTGGATGTAATCTGAAGATTTACTGTTTTGTTTGTAAAGACCAGTGTGTAGCCGATGCTGCGGCTAACGCGCCGCTTCACTCGTGTATGTTTGCAGGGCTCTACCAGTTTTTGGCCCCTGACAGTCGGGAGTTTGAGGATCTTGTGAAGATCATCTCCTCGTTTTACCTCGACTCGTCATCGCGAGGAAGCTTTTCTTACTGCAAGGCCCGGCTAATTCACAACGAGCTGCTGGAGAAGGAGGTGGGCCATGGTTTAAAACGGTTTAAAATGATGCATAACAAAACAAATCTCACAGCCATTTTCTTCTGAGCTGTACTTTTTTAAGCTGCTAAAGTTCAGACGAACTTGACTCTGCTTTATTTTTGTGCCAGTTCATCGAGAAGCGGAGAGAAATGAAGCAGGCGGGGCGAACTGAACCGGAGCTCGCGGAGTCGTACTGCTTCCTTTTCCCAGACAAATCCAAGGTTTGCTGGATTTTGAAGAAACTGTTGAGATGTTTTAACAACTAAGTCGAGTTTCTGTGTTCTATTTATTTTTGTCATTTTTCCTTTTGTCCAGCTCCAGTGGATCTGTGAGAAGGGGCTGTCCCTCGGCCACTGTAGGATTATGACACTTGGAAATCCATCAATGGGTGCGCTGATTTTTTAAAAAATGATTTTATTTCCTAAACCCAAAAGAATATCGTAACTATTACCATATTCTAATAAAAAAATCTGTTACTGTTGTCTGAGCTGCCAGTTTTTAATGGGACTTTCTATAACTCACTTGTTTTTTTTTCACCATAGGTGTTTATCTCTCCAAATACTCTGATTTATTACAAATGAACCCATTCGAGGCAGGCTCATTTGGAGACATGATCATCTTTAAAGTCATGAGGGTAAGGCCTGCTTTGTCTTTTTTCCCTCGTGGCTTTCTTCTGAATTTTCTGAAACTCTGAGCTAATCACAGCGTTTTCTGCTCTTCAGGGTAAAATAAAGCACATCCACGAGAACATGCCCAAGAATGCAATCGAACCATCAACCAAGTTTGACTGTCACTTGTCCAAAAGTGCCAACAGGGTCACGTCTTTGCTGTCGTATCGAGCGTTTGAGCTCACACAGGTAAGCGCTGGTTGTTTGTTTTCTGATGCATGTTCTAGTACGCTGAATTGTGATGCATCTTTGTCTTCTGCAGCAATACTTTTTTGAGTTTGCGTTTGATGAGATCAAGACACGCCCCCGGCACGTGTGCCCCTACGCTATAGTTTCTTTTCAGTACAAAGGCAAGGAGGCTGCAGCAGCTCCAATGACTGCACACAGGTATGTTATCCTGCAGGAAACGGTGACACCCAGCAGTTCTAGGATGTTTGTATGCTGACTGTTAACATAAACGTGCCGTTTCTGTTTTGAACAGGTTTAACACCATTTCCATGGAAGGAAGTAGAGGTAAACTTCTTTTATATTTAAATTTTCCTGCTAGTTATGCAACAAGTTCCACTGGAAAACACGTCTTTACATCCGAAGTCACCTGTAAATCTTTAGTACCTGAGTTGGTTATAAAAGATGGTTTAGTGGTGTTCTGTTGGATTTCTGGGTTCAGTAACCGATGCATAATGAAGGACTTTTAATGACTAATTACAGATGAAGTCAGTTGGTTTTATTGACATGTGCTGTTGCAGGGAAGAGCTGCTACACCGTGTGGAGCGGCCCGCTGGTGAACAAGGGCCAGGAGCTGTTCCCAGTTTCTTTACGGTCCTTCTCGCGCGCCTATCTTCCTCACAAACTGTGAGTAAAAATCTCTGAGGTCAAAAGGGGCTCTTTTTCTGAGCCACCATGTGTGAATTGTTGTCTGACTGTTTTCTTCTGCAGACCTGAGAAGTTGGAGATGAATCGGGGCATGCAGCTGGACCAGGTGAAGCGGAAGCTCCCCTCTTTTCTTTTTTCGTGGGACACCTACACCATATCACGGGAAGGTCAGTTTGGACCACGTGTCTGTGGATCTGTTACCATGCCGACCATGCAGACGTAACCTGTTTTTTTTTTTTGGTCTGCAGTGATGAAGTTTGGGATGTCCTGCAGCCTGTTTGATGTAGTGGAAGGAAAAGGTAAAGCAACCAGCGGGAGCCTGGCATCGCTGATCCACAAACTGGAGAGGGATCGCATGGTAAGTCTAACCGAACAGACTTGGTTTTAAATGAATATCAATGAACATCCCATAATTGTACACTGATAAACAGTCGAATTGTTTCTGTGAAATTAAATGAACACCAATGTTTCTTCTCCTACTCAGGTGCTGGTGAAGTCCTTGCATGACCGCGGCTTTCTCTTTCTGTTGTCCTCCGCTCAGATGGTCGAGTCAAAAGGTGCCCCCGAGTTTTATTTATTTATTTATTTTTAAACTTTCATAAATCTCTTGCATCAGTCGAGCCACCTACTCTTTTCCTCTGCTGAGAGTTTGCTTTTAAAAAGATTGCTGTTTGTGTTCCAGAGCGGCGGGGGCGGGTTGAAAAGAAGCTACAAGCATTATTCATCTTTCAGGAGTCAAGGACGGTTGTCAAGTATTGTAAGTAAAGCTCTCCGTCTCCCCATCATGCTCCTGATGGAGTCGGAGTCTCTGCTCCTGCATTATTCATGAAGCCACTTTATTAGAGAACTGTTTCATGTCTGTAATCTTCCCTCTTCGTTACAAATCAGAGTTTAGAGCTTTTCTTGTTTTTGTCATGCTTGTTTATGGATCTGATTGCCACTAAAGATGCACAAATCCTATGCCGTAGCTTCGAGACTGTCAGAGCCAGAGCTGCTGAAGGCGGAGCCTCAGCCTGCTGCCCTGGCCTCCACGAAGCCTTTTATTCCTGCACTACATTACTCATTTTTCAAGTTGCGTCCCAACCCGGGCAAGGACCTGAGTTCTGGGGTGGAGCGCCAGATGACGGACTACCTTACCCGTATGGAATCAGGAATGGTGCGGCCGTTCATTCTGCCTGACTATAAATCTAGCGTGGATGAAAGGACAGGCCCTCTCCTGGTGCCCAGGTCCAAATTTAACATGGAAGCTGTGCTGCGATCTTACGTCCACAACTCTGCTAACTATGTTTTACCCCTGAACAAAGCTAAAGACTTGATGGAGCGAATAAGAAATCCCGTCCCCGTGCCTGCCCCTGTACCTCCACCGGCTCCAGTGCAGATTCCTGTTTTAGCTCCGGTTGAATACAGCCCCGTTTCTGACTGGGGTGGCTCAGACCGCGGCTCGGACAGAGCAGACAAGCCTTCAGAACGTCTGTCCCTAGAGAGGCCACCTCAGGAGAAGCCACCCCCAGAGGGCAGCAAGCAAAGGACGAGCTTGACCCATTCAAATGGCGCCCAACTGCAACCTAAGCCCCACGCTGAGCCGCAGCCTCAGCTGGAAACGGTGCAACTGTCCCAGAGCGAGTACGATCAAGACAAGATGAAGCAGCTGCTCAAGCTGATCCAGCTGCACAAGAAAACTCTGGTGAAGGACCGAGGGGACGACGGGGCCTGGGACGCCAACAGCCTCAAAAGGAAGTTTGAAGAAGACGAAAGGGTGGGCAGCAACAAGCATCAACGCATGGATCATGCAAGCAACGGGGAGCCCAGCAGAGGTGAGAAGTGAAGCAACCACTCGTCTGCATTCGTTTAAAGGAGTTATTCAAATTTTCTGCTAACTCTGCCTTTTAATGTCTGAAAGAGCGAAAGTTTGGTTTGTATTTTAGAGCCGTTTGATTAGTTCTCAGTGATTTAATATCACAGTTAAGTGTAGTGCATGTTAGTGTTGTGTACATCAGAGCTACTAAACCACCGTTCTGAGTCACGGCCTGCTGAACGCTTCCTGCTCAGCACACATGAACATAAATTAAGCTATTAATGAGCTCACAGTCTGGCTGATTCTGAAGGTTTGCTGCTGATACCACAAAAGTACACTGATAAATCAGCCAAAGCTCACGCTATGAATGTGTGTGTGTGTGTGTGTGTGTCTGTGTGTTATGCTAGCGTTCCAGACAGACGAGCTCGGAGCCGAGGCTGAACAGAGCGACAGTCTGACTGCTGTGATGGAAAGCATAGGTATCTATGACACCGACCTGAGGGCTCGTGGCAATGCTAACGCCTCGGCGGTCAACGAAACGCAGCGCCTGCTCAAAATTCTTCTGGCCACGCTCAACAAAGCCGTGGGGCAGAATTCGATGCCGACAGAGGAAAACCACGGTGAATCCTCGACAGCTTCGGTATCGGGTCTTCCTGAGTTAGCTTTTGAGAAACCGAGAGAGACGGTTTCTCAAGTAGACTACACTGAGGTGAGGTGGAAATGGTCGGATCCTGTTTGGTTTTTCTTTAGTTTAATGTTTTAGATCTAAAATAAAGTCTTGTTTTGTCTTTTCAGGAGGACATGGACTGTAGCCCTGCTAGTCCGTTCAGCGTGGGCTCGCCACCACAGCAAGCACAAGCTTCAGACGCCTTAGCCCGGGAAATCCCTACCACTGAAGGCGCCCCTACGCTATTAGGTAACACAAACTCTTCTCTTTTAGAACTGTTTCAGTTATGGTTAACATGGCTGTGACCTTTTTCATATCTGCCCTCTTCCAGAAACAGCTCAGCCTTCTGCCACGCCGAAGCCCGAGCCAGAGGCCGTGCCACCTGCTGAAAGCGAGCCGGAGCCGAAGAAGACACCTACAGTTCTGGAAGTGCAAAAGGCAGAAGTGCCTCCTTTAACGGTTCCAGAGGAGGTTTCGTTCCGGCCCTCCATCAGCCTGGACACCATAGTGAACCAGGAGATACACAGCCTCACGTCTAACATTAAAAATCTCATGCAGACTCGCCACATGTCGTATACGTCACAGCTGCCCCCGCGATTGCCCCTGCGCCACTGCTGGCAGCCCAACACCTGCTTCTCGAGCTACGTCGCCCCCTTTGTCACGCCCGTGTCTACCGACGAGCACGTCCAAGCACTGTGTGAAAAGATGAACAAGTTGATCCCAGATCCACCTGCTCCCTCCGGTGATGCCTCTCCACCTCCCTCAGAGGAAGAATCCAGTCTCACAACCCCACCTCCTCCCACATCTCAGGCCTCCAAAACTAAAGCAGAGCTCTTAGCGCCAAAGAGAGCCAACTCCTCTCAAAGCAGCAAAACTGATGGCATCAACAAAGAGACGGTGTCTACCAAGGCTAAAGCAGATGTTTCCTCAGCAGAGGTGACGGGCGAGGTCTATTCTCCCTCTCGTGTGACAGCGGACTCGCCGGAGTCCCACGCCCAAAACGCTAACGCTGCTCCTGGAGTGGGCTCTAATCTGCTCGCTGGCAGCCTCATCAGCCAGCTGAAACCTGAAGTTTTCACCAGCTTGGTGGAGATCTTTAAGGATGTCACCAAGAATACGGTTAAATTCTACATCTACTCAGTAGACGAGGGGGAAGAGGGCAGCATCTGTCAGCAGATTAAGGTACAAAACAAGGCTCCATCAGATTGTAGTTTTTACCCGTGTTTCATAGAAGTATAATTCATTATTTTAACGTCAAAAGATCCACTTTCATCAGATTAGCCAATTAATTTTATTTATTTTTGTTTTTCGTGTATAAAAATCAATCAGGGTTGTGCTTTTTGAAACTGCTGAATATTCAGAGCTGCATCATTTAGGTTGTTTGCTAATCGGTTTAAAGGTAATTGTTTGGATGGCAAAAAACAAGTCACGGGTCAATTATGCCGCCTTAATTCATGTTTATTGTGATCAAGTGAAAAAATACAGTGGTTACAGACCCAGTGTTGTTTCTGCTGTAGTAGTAGAACACGCGCACACACACATGATTAAATTTCATGTGTCACTTCCTGTCTCTCACAGGAGTACTTGAAAAGTCTCGGCAACAGTGAGTGCAGTCCACAGACGTTTCTGGAGAACAGCAGCCGTATGGATAAGCTCCTCATAATCATCAGAAACGAGGACATCGCCACACATGTGCACAAGGTACGGCGGCTTCCTGCCACTCTGTCAACAGAAACAAGAACCGGAGTCTGTTCTGAACAGCTTTCGTGCAGAAGTCCGATGAATCGTTGCTTCATAACTTCTTAGATGATTGTCGTTCTTCCGATTGACTTTGGTAAAACTAAACACTAGAAAATTCCCAGATGATCTGATTAGTCCTTAATCCCACCAAGACTGAAATCTCAGCATTCTATTGACCATTAATCTAAATAATGTGACATTGTTTTGTGGGTGGTGATCAAAAGCATGAAGGCTGACTGGATTAGCTTCATTTGTCCTGCTCAGATTCCTGCCTTGGTGTCTCTGAAGAAGCTGCCCTCTGTGAGCTTTGCTGGCGTCGACTCTCTGGACGACGTGAAGAACCACACGTACAATGAGCTGTTTGTGTCGGGAGGCTTCATGGTGTCTGACGAGTTCGTCCTCAACCCCGATCTCATCACACAGGGTGGGTTTCAAAGGATCAACCTGGCAAGACTTCGAAACTTGATGGATGGTTACAAAACCACCGTAGCTTCAGAATTCCTGCTTAGTTGTAGATTTCCTTTAACAGAATCGCCACATGAAGAATTGGATTTATTCAGGAAGTGCACAGGAATCCTTGAGCCCAGTGGTTAATTTTGACTGGTGGGACAAAATAAACAAGGTCAACTGAAATCAGCAGTCATAAACCATGATTTGCTGTGATGTTTGATGCTTTATTTAATTATTACTTTTCGTGGAAATGCCCATAGTCTGGTTTTGTTCCAGATTGGCAGAATTATGGAGGTCTGAAGGGTTGCAGGTGAAACATGCAGCAGCACGAGGGAGACGAGCAGAGCCTGCGGGAGTTTAGGAAATAAGAGCTGCACATATTTCATCTGCAACACTAGGAGATGTTAAATGCAACATTTGTTTCTCAGCAATTAGCAACATCAGTCAGCTTAATGCGAACACTCAAGCCTCAAACTGCCAGAGGCGGTTCACCCCTCCAACATCCTTTTTATTGACTTTCTTTCAGATTAAACGGACATTTCTCCTCCTTTGGTGACGAAAACAACATACAGCTGCAGTTTTTAAAGGATAAATAATATTTGTTTGAATTGAGTTCCAGCAGTTGATCTCAGGTCCTTTACTTACATTTCTGTGCGCTTTGTGCTTTTTCTAGATCGGTTGCAGGGACTGCTCAAGTTCTTGGAGGAACAAAGCACTCCTGAACACCCCTGGCAGTGGAAGGTGCACTGCAAGTCCCAGAAGAAGCTAAAAGAGCTGGGCAGGTTGGTGTCTGAGTCGAGCTTCTCAGCTGCGTAGAGACTGTTATAAAGGACTACAGAGACACTGAAGCATTTGTTTATTTTTAAGGTTAAATATTAATGCCATGGGGCTGCTGAACCTTCTCACCATCTATCAGAAGAAGCATCTGGTGGAGTTCCTCCCATACCATGAGTGTGACACGGCGTCACGTCAAGCTCCTGATCTGGAATGCCTGATCAAGCTTCAGGCTCAAAACACGCAACAACGACACCTCATCTTCCTCACAGGTATTTCCAGTTTATTCTCATCAGTAACAACAACAACAATAATCATCATGTGGGTTTTATGTTTGAGACTGTCCTGATAATAAAGATGACTGATAGTGACTGCTTTTCTTAAAAACAGAGAGACCATTTGAAATGTTCCTGCAGTATTCCAGAAACGGAATAGTCATAGCGAGCATTGATGATGTCATGAGCGGTTTCCACAGTCTGATTGGATCCATTAACCAGAATGAGCTTCCAACACCACCATCTACTGGTGAGAAGCACCAGAAAAAATCAGACCTGCTGGATTTATTTATTGTTAATAACCACTCTGATTTGCCTGCTCTCTCTCTCTCTCTTTCTCCACTTGTCTCCCAGTAGTGAATGATGAGTGTGTGGAAGAGGAGGACATGTCGTTAGACTCTGATGATGGTGAGCCAGCAACCACTTCAGAGCCTACAGAGCAGGTCCCAGAGGTCGAGAAGGAGGAGTCAGTGCTGCCGCCTCCTCCTGAGATGGAGGAGTTTCGGCCTCCGCTCCCAGACCAGCAGTCCACCCCTGAGAAAACGCCAACTCTGGCTGACTGCACTGCTCTGAAAACGGCCATCTCTCAGTTTAAAGCTACCAACCAGATAGGCCTAGCCTCCTCAGATCTCGGCAGCTTGTCACCTGGTGGATTCCCTGTAAACACTCACCAGAGCTTCCTGTGCCCCTCCACCCCGTGGTCCTCCTACACTGGTTCTTCTGGCTACGTGGCATCGCCAGCCTACCCCGCTTCTCCCTGCAGCAGCACACAGGAACAGGAGTACCGTGTCCCAAATACAGCTTCTTCTGCAGTCCCAACTCAAGCTGCTATAGCCACAGCCGGACCTTTAGCCAACCTGGCTTCCCTCCCCTTGGAGGTCAAACCTCCTCCTCCACCTCACCTCATGATGCAAGGTCGGACTTATGGGTCAGATGCTGCTGGAGCCACTCCTCTTAACCCCACCCTACCCTATAAAAACCCTAGTGATGCAGCCCAGATGGGCTACATGGGCGGTGGGACTCCCGTACAGCAGGACAGGACAGTCACTAGACCTGGAGAAGCTGGATGGAACGCGACGCAGACCACCACCTGTGAGACTGCTAGCAGCCAGAGTGTGGTCACCTCTATGCCCCATGACCCCAGCAGCCTCCCAACCACTGGGGAAATCCTTGTAGGCAGTACTCCTGGTTGTCAGGGGGGCAAGACTCAGGTGAACTGTGCTGAAAACCTTGGCGCATCCGTGGGTATCCCCCCAGTAGCCACCAGGGGGAGCTGTATACCCAGACCTAAGCTGCCTCCGCCACCAGTAGTTGGTGTGGGCTATGGTGTAGGAGGCCTCCCTGCACACGTGGACCACGGGTCTTTGCGGGGAGCTATGGCTCCTGGTTCTTTAGGGGGCTTCAGAGGCAGAGGAGTCCCACCAGTAGGACTGTTACCTCGGCCTAGGCAAGAACTGGGGAATGGAACGGGAGTGGGACCCTGTTCCTGGGCTTACCCAGGAGGCAGGGGGGGGACACAGAACTACTACACAGACTACACATATTCTCATAACTACGCCCCTGAATAGACAATCAACTTGACGAACGGGGCGATGCAAACACCATAAACCAGAGACATTTAGAGCTGGCTGAATGTATATATTTCCTTGTCATAAATGCGTTGATTTAAAATCAGTGAATATGGATTCTGGTTTTCTACATTAATAAAATTGATACAGGCAGTGCCGAGTGTCCTACTGTCAAAAAATGGTCTGTATTCTTTCCATGTGAGCGATTTGAGACCCTGTCCAAACCACTATATTTATATTTGCCAACAAATAGTAATGGCCTTCCAGCTTCTCAGAATTGACAACGTGATTTCTGTTTCTTCCAGTTTTGGAACGGTTTGTGAACATGGGGAATGGCTGATATTTTTTTAAAGAAAAAAAAAACTTAGTGAAACAGATCTCACGTTTGCTGTTGGGTTTTCTTTTTTTTATTACTTTACATATTTGGTTGTCCAAAATTCTATTATAATAAAACATTTCAAATCCTGTTTGTGTGTTGGATTTGACGGTGTCAAGCGTTCCATTAAAAACTGATTTAAAAAAACAGAGTCATGTCATTTGAAAGGGGAAAAACATTCCCAGAGGGAGGATGATGTAGCCTAGTGAACCAAATTCTTTCATACATTTATTTAGTCTGGCTTGCCAGGCTAAGGATGATGTGCACAATATAATAAATGTAATGTAAATAAGATTCAATTAGGATTTTATGGTACCAGAAATGCAGTGTAAGCAAGTGGCAGCTGGTCAAATTTTTTGAGGGGTGCATTTTTGCAAGTCCGTTTTCAGATGTGCTCAGACCACATGTCACCACTAGGGTGGGACAAAGCGCCACTCATACATCACACTACTTTAAAAGAAAAAGTACAAGGTGTTTTCAGTCTTTTATTATTTATATGTAAACTTTGCCTGCCTCTCCTTCAAACATGCAAATTTTTCAATCACTCTTTTGTTAAAGTCAGGTGTGTCCCTAACAAGTGTCTTTTCAATAGAGAGCATGGCCAACGCATTTATTCAATCTTGGGACACCGCATTCCTCAGGAAGGTTTATATTCTTTTCAGGGTAGGAAAGCATCTCTCAGCTTCAGTGGTTGTCATTGGAGTTGTAATCAGGATCTTCAACAGTGTAAAAGTCTCTGAAAACACAACTTGGAGGTTGTTCTGGACAAAGAGCTGGAACAGAGCGACTGCACCAGTGCAGTTCCTGAACTCATCGTTGTTGTAAATGACTGACAGTTCATTTTTCAGCTTGTATTTGTTCAGCACTGGGTACGCTTCAGTGGTGGTGTCAACCGCCGTGTCGGGGAACCGCGTGCTGTGCTCCTCAAATTTGTCCCTGCAGCAGCGTAGCACCTATCAGGTGCTTGGTGAAAGCAAACCTCTCATTTGCATGGACCAAGATGGTGTTACAAACCTAAAAAAGAGCAACTGAATACAGAGATCAACTTCTGCCATGCATTAAACACTGCAACAAATACATATACACTACCAGTCAACATATGAGTTTCCATGTTTTTCATGAAAAGGTACGTCTTTAGTTGTGTTACCATCATTACACGTGGTTTTAAAATAATCAGTGAATTGCCTTTAAGAGCTTCTATCTCACCTAGCTACTCTCTGAAGTTCATCTGAGCTTGTTGTGCGGCGTTTCTTGGCTTGCTGCTGTTCTTGATTGCTGTCGTGTGCATAGAAACCAGGAGGGTACTTTCTGAAAACCACCAAGGTAAGCTTTGGTAGTGAGTAAACCTAATCAGAAATGTCACACCGATGTCAGTATCAATACGGCATAAACATTCACTTACCTGATCTTTTGCACATTGTCCGTGAACTCCTGCAAGACTCTGCTGGCAAAGACCAAATCAATCGAGCACTTCTGGAGCTGGCTGTAGAGAACATCCACGTGAGACATGTGATGGAACAGTTTCAGGAAGAAGATGAATGTCTCATCTTCCAGTAGCCTCACCCCCCCCCCCCCCACACACACACACACACACACACAACTTATTTTATGGTGACAGAATCAAACTCCTTGGGAGATCTTGAAAAAAATCCAGAGAATCCAGCTACATCAAAGCACTGCCTGACCTTTGTGATGTGTGATGTAGTCTGCTGCATGATCACGTTCAGCTGGTGAGCATAGCTGTGGACATTATGTGCGTTGTCATACACAGTTTGCACCTTTTTCTGCACACCACCGGTGGCTCCTCTCAGTACACTTGCTCTATCATATGACTGAGAAATTAGCTTGGCCTTGTGGTCAGCGGGGATAATGGTGCTTAGCCTATCCAGGAGTGTGGTGGCGACAGAATCAGTTGTTGCATTCTGGAGCGGTAGAAACTCAAAAAACCTTTCTCGAACATTGTGAGCTTTGTCGATGTAACGCACCACAATCACAAGCTGACCCTGAGAGAAAATGTCCATCGTTTCATCAGCTTGGATGGAGACAAAGTCGGCACTCATAATCTCATCAATGATCTGCTCTCTCACAACTGAGAACATGCAGTCCAGGAGCTCATTCGGCACCGATTTAGATGTCCCTTTGAGCAAAGTAGAAATCTGTAGATGTTCGTGCACTGCTGCATCCAGCGATCCAACAAAGTCCACAGGCCCCGTGAAAATACCAGGATTTCCTGAGTGATCACTTTCAACTTGACTATGCAAAGCTAGCTCAAATACACCACAGAACTTAATACTGTATTATCTTTGACAAAATGTGTCGGTTTCTATCAACCTCCTCATTGTTGCCGCATCCCTATCCTGTAGTCCTTGTTAAGCTGCGTGGCAATAGTCACATTGCCAAACATTGCAAGGTGCATTGCATTTTCCAAGTGGCTTCTATCAGTTCATGCTTTCTTGCCTTTTCTGGGAAATGTTTTACATCAGTAACACCTGTCTGAATCCAGGCTAGATCCGTGCCAGGCAGCTGAAAAAGCAGGCAAGGCAAACAAAACAAAGCACTGGCATTAGCACAGCCAGTTAGCCAGGACTTCTTGTCATACCACGTCCGGGAAAATGACTGTGTGTAATTTCTCCCTCTGTCCAGATTTTGTTGCTTTATTGTGATGTCCGGCTGGTCAGGTCCAAGCTCCTTAAGACAAAGTTTTTCTTGTGGTGTTCTTCCGTGAAACGGTTGACTTTTTAGGGACGAAACTAAATTGGTTTTCTCCATGATAAAACTCCACGAGCTACTTAGCTGCTCTACTGCTAACAAAGACTGTGGAGAGCTTCTGGGTGAGCGTGCTGATCAGACTCCACTCTTCTGTGCATGCTTTGGTTTATGCTTGACGCGTCCACGAGGTCCGCACGGCTCCGCGCGGCGAAATTGCGTCATTTTAACAACCACGCCCCTCCACCGCGCCTCCGCATGGCCTAAAATTTCCGCACCGCGCACCTAGGAAATTTTCTAACCACGCGGACGGTCGGATGCAGAAAAACATGGCGAACTGGCAAGAAGTAGTATGGCAGAGGTTCGTAAATACAGACATTTGTATGATTCAGCTCTCAGAGATCACCGTGATCAACATGTTGTTAATAATTTGAGAGAAATAGCTTGCACTGTCGGAAAAGACGAGGACGCTGTTAAAAAATGCTGGAATGTCATGTTGTAAACAACAGTAATGTTTACTTCTACTATGGTGTAGTGTTGGATGCATGCCGTAGAGCTCCATGCTGCCCCATTCAGTTTGGGAGAATATTGGCTCACCGTAGAGACAAGCCGCATGAACGTTGGTCATGTATTGTAACCCCAGATTCTATGAGTCTAGTCGCAGCCCTTAAGCTAGCCGCTATTGGAAGGACGATCTCAGCTTCAGCCAATCATGAAGAGCTTAAATGTACGCCCACCAATGGTGGGCACCCCTGTGGGAATATAAGTGGAGCGACTCCACTGTTCACCTCCAATGGCTCTTAGTCCTAACAGAATCAGTGGAGCCATTTGCTTAAGGGCTGCGACTAGACTCATTGCATGGGGTTACAATACGTAACCAACGTTCTATTTCATCTAGTCTAAGCCCTTAAGCTAGCTGCTATTGGAATAATGTGCAGCTGGATGGGTTTACGCCACACTGGTTAGCTCAACCAATGGACACACCCAACATGTCTCCTTTTGGTGAGGGTCGCTCATTCTCAGCCCAGGGCTTAAAAGGCTGAGGCAGCCAGAGATAAGAGTGGGGCCCCCACTAAAAATATCATCCACAAGAGGATGAAATTCATTCAAGTACGGTTGATGTGGTGCCATAATGCTTTCACTCAGCCTGCTGAGGTCCAAGCACTGAACGAGTGATGGATCCGGAAGACACATCTCGTAAATAATAACGAGTAAAGGAACAGGGTGAAGCCCATGAAGCAGCCTGACAAATGTCTTCCATCGACACACCACTGTGGAGCGCCATAGAAGTGGAAATACCTCTGGCTGAGTGAGCCCTGAGTGTCTCAGGAGGATCCTGCCCTGATGATGTGTAAGCGAGTGAAATGCCATCACATAGCCAGTGTGAAAGAAGCTGGGCCGACAGCGCCTGACCAAGGGAAGACTCCCTGTAGTGCACAAACAGGTTTTGTGAGCGACGAATCCCTGAAGTGCGTGACACATATCGTGCAAGCGCACGCACCGGGCAGAGAAGGTGGGAAGCCGCCTCCTCATCAGAATTAAGGGGAGGAGGAAAAAGTCCAGCCAATGAAATTGACCTGGATTTGAAGGAAATATTAATGTTTTTGGGCACAAAGGCTGGGTTGGGGCCTAAAACGGCGGATCCGCCATCTTCCCGGATCCTGGGGCATGCGGGAGCCACTGAGATGGTGGTTAGGTCGCTCACTCGCTTGACTGATGCCAGCGCCAGCAGCAAGGCAGTTTTGAGTGACAGGAACTTGAGTGAGACCTGATCCAAGGGTTCAAATGGGGCTTCAGATAAGCTGCACAGAACCACCATTAGGTCCCACTGGGGGAACAGCGGGCGGGACACAGGTCTGTTCCTTCTGACACCTTTTAGAAAACGTTTTGTGAGGGGATGATTGAAAAAAGATCTATCTCCAAAACCCTGGTGATAGGATGAGATAGCTGCAGCAAATGTTTTAATAGTGCTGAATGCAAGGCCCCTGTCCATCAGCATCTGCAGAAACGATATTACATCCACCAGCTGGCAGGAGAGTGCTTGAACATTCCGCTCTGTGCACCATTTCTGGAAAGCTGCCCATTTAGCAGCATGAGATGTGATGGTAGAAGGCGCCCGTGCACTCTGAATCGTGGCAACCACATCATGCGGCAGCCCAGAAGCCTCTAAGCGTGACCGCTCAGCGGCCAGACCCACAGCCGTTGACCTATTTCTGGAGGATGTTTGATTATCCCATCCGCCTGGAGAAGGTCGTCCGCCCTCCACGGGAGCCTCCACAGGGAGCCGGACACTAGCGCTTGCAGGTCTGGAAACCATGACGCGGACAAGTGTCTGGGAGCTACCAATTACCGAGAGCTGTTCCGACCGAACTCGGTCCAGGAGAC